GGAGAGTCGCTCAAAGTGAGTTTTTTTTTCCAAAAGGAAACGGGAGGGGAATTTAATAGAGTGTGAAAAGCTTCCTCTTTGAGATCAGAAACAAGATAAGGGTGCCTGCTATTATAATTTCATTTCATCATTGTATTTGATACACTTGCCATTGTAGTCAGCACAGTCACACAAAAGCTCAAAATGAAAGAAGAATGATGAAGCTGACCATATTAGAATTTAAACCTGGGAGGGCTGGGTAGAGGTGGAAGAGGGCAGAAGGGATAGATGGCATTGGATTAAATTTAATTTAATTTTAAAAAGTTTAAACTTCTTTTCAATGAAAGACACCATTAAAAAAGTGGAAAAGACGACATGAAAAAGTAGAATCTGTGTCACATGTTAACTGAATTAAAGAACTTGATATAAAGAACACCTCACAACATAACAGACATATTCTGTTAAAAATGGGGAAAGATTTGAATTGACATTTTACAAAAGAGGAAATGCAAATGAACTATAAACCTGTGAAAAGAAATTCATTCTTGTAATGAAGGATATGACAATGAAAAAAAACACAAGATACAATTATGTACTAGATTGGCCGAAAATGACTTCATGTACAATGGGAGCCATTGACTTGATTCTTGCTAAAGTGGCTACAGTTTTACTCATCACTGCTTTTGTACCATCAGTGCAATGTCCACAGAGTGAAGAGCACATTACATGGCAGTATTATCATAGAAGAAAATAGTTTTAGCCCAGCTGGTGTGGCTCAGCAGTTGAGCATCCACCTAGAATCCAGGAGATCGCAGTTCGATTCCCAGTCAGGGCACGTGCCTGGGTTGTGGGCTCGAACCCCAGTAGGGGGCGTGCAGGAGGCAGCCGATCAATGATTCTCATCACTGATGTTTGTTTCTCTCTCCCTCTCCCTTCCTCTCTCTGAAATCAATAAAGATACATTTAAAAAGAATCCTAAAAACAGTAATGATGTAGGAGGATCTCAAGATATGATTAATGTGTATTCCATTCTACCATTTGTATTTAAAAAGGAGCTGTATATATTTATATATTTGTCCATGTATACAAAAGTCTGGAAGGCTACACAAGAAACTAACAATGGTTACTTCTAGAGAAGGAAAAAAGAGACTAGGATGGGAGAGAGCTTACTGGTCTGAATTCTGTATATGCCAAATGCATATATAACCTATTCAAATTATTTACAAATAAAAATGTTTGCAATGCATACAAATTGTGGCTATTAAACATTGGGTAAATTTTATTCATTTTAGAATGTTTGGAAATAAAACCAACAAACTGGGTGTTATGTACATTGTAAGCAAAAGTGACAGCACAGATGCCATTGATGCTAATGATGTCTCAGGATCACCAACCTCAAATTCTGGCTAAAGGTTGCCATTCTCACACCCACAATTGTGAAACAGCATCCATCTGTTCCATAAAGTTGGCCTGCCTGGCTAACACTTCCCTATACAGCCAGTTCAGATCTCTGAAGCTGTCAGTAACATTGAGGACACGGAGAACTGTTAAAAATAACCATTCCACCCTAGGTAGCAAGAAACACTGTCTCCCATCCATCCGCCCCACTCCCATAATCTGTGGGAGAGTGTCTGTGATTCTTTTGTGAGACGTTGAGAAATACCCATGCAATACTACTAGGCCAGTGATGTTATAATAAAATAATTTTGTTTATCTGGGTAGGATAAGGTTCTTTAGCTGAGACTGAATTTATTAAAACCTGCTGAGTGAGATTCAAAATACCTTCAGCCTGGCCGGGCGTGGCTCAGTGGTTGAGCATCAACCTAGGATCCAGGAGATCGAGGTTCGATTCCCGGTCAGGGCACATGCCTGGGTTGCGGGCTGGATCGCCAGTCAGGGGCGTGCAGGAGGCGGCTGATCAATGACTCTCTCATCGTTGATGTTTCTATCTCTCTCTCTCCTTCTCCCTTCCTCTCTCTGAAATCAATATATTTTTTAAAAAACAAAATACCTTCAGGTGAATCATTTAGGATGTTTCCAGCAGCACAAACAGAACACCCACCTAAAAGAGGCTCACACAGTGAGTGCGTTCAGAACAAGAAGTCTGGAGAACAGAATTCCAGAGCTGCCTACATCAGAAGTTTAACAATGTCAGAGCTCTGGGTCAGTCTCTCATGGTGACAAAAAGACTCCTGCTGTTCCCAACACTACATCTTCCATGAGATTATTTCAGGCAGGAAGCATGAAGGACTTCCCACCTTGATCTTTATGTTTTCAATCAGGAAGAAAAATCTTTCCCAGAAGCCCCAGAAGATTTCTCCTCAGATGAAAGTGATCAAAGTAGCAACCAACATTCTGCCTCACTGCTATACATGATTACCTATAGCTCCCATCAGGAAAATCCTTGTTTGTCTCTCTGCTCCTCCCCACTTGACAGAGAGCCATGTACCTGAGATGTGATGGTGAAGATTGGAGTAAATGGATTTGGCCATATTGGGCACCTGGTCACCAGGGCTGCTTTTAACTCTGGCAAAGAGGACATTGTTGCCATCAATGAATCCTTCAATGAACTAAACTACATGTTCCAATATGATTCCACCCATGGCAAGGTCAATGACACAGTCAAGACTGAGAATGGGAAGCTTGTCATCAATGAAAAGCCCGTCTCCATCTTCTAAGAGTGAGATCCCACTAACATCAACTGGGTGGGTGATGCCAGTGCTGAATACGTTGTGGTGTCCACTGGTGTCTTCACTGCCTTGGAGAAAGCAGGGGCTCAGTTGAAGAGTGGAGCCAAAAGGTTCAACACCTCTGCCTCTTCTGCTGATGTTTGTGATAGGCACGAACCATTAAAGAATGACAACTTCCTCAATATTGTCAGCAATGCCTCTTGTACCACCAACTGCCTGGCTCCCCTGGCCAAGGTCACCTGTGACAACTCTGGCATGATGGAGAGACTTATGACCACAGTCCTTGCCATCACTATCACCCAGAAGACCGTGATGGCTGCTCTGAGAAGCTATGGCATGATGGCTGAGGGGCTGTGGGCAAGGTCACCCCTGAGCTGAATGGGAAGTTCATCGGCATAGCCTTCTGTGTCCCTGCCCAAAATGTGTTGGTCATGGATTTGAACTGTCACCTGGAGAAAGCTGTCAAATATGATGACATCAAGAAGGTGGTGAAGTGGGCATTAAAGGGCTCCTGAAAGGGCATCGTGGGCTACACTGAGGACAAGGTTGTCTCTTGACACTTTAACCCACTCTTCCACCTTTGATGCTGGGGCTGGCATTGCCTTCAGTGACCACTCTGTCAAGCTTATTTCCTAGGATGACAATGAATTTGTCTATAGCAATGGATGGTGGACCTTATGGTTCAAATCGCCTCCAAAAAGTAAGAGCCCC